GATGGTCGCATAGTGACCTGATGACAAGTCTTGCAAATTGTCTTTGTTTTACTCTCATATGTAGAGTGATGCTGGGTGACGGGGACAAGAGGGGAGCGCTTTGGCAAGCTTCCATCTTTGTGGCAGAGTCTGTGCAACAAAGAAAATCTGAAATGCCAATTTTATGAAGTTCTTAGAACTGACCACAAAGATGGCAAAATAGGTGCTGAACTGCGGCCCTGTGTCATTTGTCCCTGAGACTCTGACCTATGCCTGGTGAGTCCAGCTGAAGACTGTTTCTAATTAATCATGCTAATGTCCCAGGGAGACGTGTTTCTGCATGCTTCCTGCAGGGCCTCTCATTATAAAATATACTGGTTTGTTTCAGGGAATACTGTGCAATCCCAGATTCCTCACAGATCTATCACTTCAGAAAGTGTCCAACTTTGCTTCTAGTTAAAACTGTTCCACTAATGAACTATAAAGGGGACTGGGGACATCACTCCAGGAAATACAGGCTTTGCTGTGTGAGCGTGGGGATCAGAACTCAGGCAGATGCCATTCCTTTGCCGTCCTTATGGCAGTACACCTCTCCCCAGGTCACCAAGCAGAGGGACCCAGTGCTTCAGAGAGCAGAGTTTTCCCAGGGATTAAATGCCCTTTCCTGAGGAGTGGGCATACCTGGTCACCCTGCATAAGGCACCAACAACAGACTGAAGAAATGATTCCACTCAAGTCCAGCTTGGTGAGCCAGTGTTGGTGTTCCTTACAGGAGTGTGGGTGATGGAAAAAAGGGAGCTTTCTGGCTGAAAAGCCCACCCAGCACAGATGAGGTACAGATGTCCCCGTGCTCCTTGGACAGCTTGCGGTCAGCTCCACCCCAGCATCCCTCTCTCCAGCAGTTGTTTCCTGCTTATGTAACCTTGGGCAGAGGTCTAGGAATCTTGTAGCGTCTTTGCACCATGAGAGAATGGTTCAGTCTGAAGGAGGTAGTTACACAACACCAGGGCATCCCTCCAGCCTCCTGACCCTCTCTTAGGTCAGGCCGAGTAGTTTCATGTGCAGGTGTGACCTTCCAGACAGGCGGGGTGAAGCCCCTCTCATGCTTGTGCTTCTGGGTCCCATCCCTGGCCTCTTGGCCAGTGAATAACTTTCTCAGGTCTTCCTCTGTGCATCCCAGAGTGCCTAGGGACACATATGAAATCAAGTCTCAGCATTGGCCTGAGAGACCAAAGGGGAGTGTGTCTCTGGCTTTCCCAACCTCTGAATCACTGACATGGCTGATGGGTAGTTTTGTGCGATGGGAACTGGCCCATATCTCAAAGATGGTCAGCTGTATCCTTTTTCTGCCTTCTGGAAGCCCATAGTACCTTTTGTCTTGGCTGTGATAACAGAATAACGTCTCTGGGGTTTGCCAGCTGGTCCCTGGAGGCCAAACCTTTCCAGATTGAACCATTGAGTAACCTGAACTGAGGTAGCAGCTGTGTCTCCTCCCAGATAGAAGATTCAATGTTTTTGCCAGCATGGGGCTGACCCTGCTGCCAGTTTCTGTTGTCTCTCACTTCTCCTGTAGCCCAGAGCTGTTTCCTGAGCTTATATCCCCACCAGGCACCATGGAAGAGCCAGGGAACTCCAGGATGTGGTTCCTATCCCCAGAAGCTCACAGTTACTCTGGTGAGACAGGACTTTTATCTATAGCAGAAGTGATTGAGAAAGTCCTACTGTTCAGGGAGAGGCACCCCATCATCTCTTTCTTAATGTCTTGGAGGGCATGCTGATATGCATTCAGGAGGCCTGGGTAGACCAGTAGTCCCTGTCTCTAGGTCCTGTGTAGCAGGACAAAGGCTGCCCTCAGTATACTAAATGAGTAGTGAAGAGTGCAGGACAACTTCAACCAAAAGGACAGACATATTAGAGAGGAGCACTGGGGCCCTGAGTGTCGGAGCAGTCCTCAGAGTGGGTTGCAGTGCAGCTACACTGTCTGATGGACTAGGCACTTCCAGGCTTGTCCTCTGCTGGTCTGGGCTGTTGGTCATTGGCACTGTCTGACGAGTGCTGCTTTCCTCAAGCCTACCCTTGGCTGTGCTCTGGGAGGAAGCAGGTCAGAGCTCTGAGCCGTCCAGTCTTCTCCAACCAATCAAGGAAGGTGATGCCACCATTGCCACTGGCAAGGAAACGAAAACCCAATCCGAAGGTAAGGGCTGCCACAGACAGCCCCAAAGCTTGTGTCCTACATACAAGGAACACAGTGTCCATTCTGCACAGCTCTTATTGAAGCACACCACCTTGGTCTGTGTATGTTTTCCTAGTTGGCAGTGGTGCCCATCCAGTCTGCCTGCCATCAGCTTTCTCCGTGTCTTCAGACCTATTCCTGGAACAGATGTGGCCATCACAGACCTCTTACAAACTTCAGCTTACTCTGGATCCCATTCAGTATCGTCTGCCCAAATAGGTTAAAAAGTCCTGGGGCTGAGGAACATGCCCTGCAGAGTCTGTACCCCTACCCATACTCCTGGTTCTGAGCCTGACACCAAAAGCCTGGAAAACCCTTTTAGACAGAGAGACAGATAGACAGAGCTCCAGACAAAATCACAGCATATAGGATCACCGAATGTGCACCCCTAGCCTGTATCCCTCACAGTATCCTACTCAGTCTTCCCCATATCCTCAGCCATGGAGTGATAGGATGCATCTGACCTTGAGGGAGGAACAGACAGAGCTTGGATGTGCAGACTGTCTGGCCTTTTCTATGACAACACAGGAGGAAAAAGGAAGGGTGACTTGGAACATCTCTTATCCTCTCTGCCTTGGGCTTCACAGGTGACGGGCAGGCTAAACCCCCACCTATAGAGACTAGCAACTTGTCCTGGTCACTGATGATGGCCAGTCACAGTGCTGAAAGAAAGGGAGGCAATGATATTACTGAGAGCTGTGTGTTAATTTAAAGGGCAGCTTTGTCCAGGCTTTTCCCATAGGAGTTAAAAGAAATCCCACTCCCACTCCCAAGCCATACCCATGTAATCTCCCTCTCTTAGGGGTTCAGACTTAAGGTCAGGCAAAGTCTACAGGCTCTATATTGCCCTCCTAAGGACCCATGACAGCTGTCTCCTCCTGTCCACATGTCTTTCCCTACCTCATGAATCTGGTATCTCGGATGGCACCCATAGTTGGCCTCCCCAAACTTGTGATCCCAATACACATTGGCTGCTGCTCTGTTGTGGCCAGATGTAAGCTCTAGGAAGAAAGGAAATGCTCTTCTTCTTCTTCTTCTTCTTCTTCTTCTTCTTCTTCTTCTTCCTCTTCCTCTTCCTCTTCCTCTCATTCTCCCCCTTCTTCTTCTTCCTTTCCTCCTCCTCCCCTTCTTCTTTGGTTTTTTCAGACAGGGTTTCTCTGTGTAGCTTTGAAACCTTCCCTGGAACTCGCTCTGCAGACCAGGCTGGCCTCAAACTCACAGAAATTTGCCTGCTTCTGCCTCCCAAGTGCTGGGATTAAAGCCGTGCACCATCACTGCCTGGTAAAATGCTCTTCATGGTCCTCCTCCTCCTCCTCCTCCTCCTCCTCCTCCTCCTCCTCTTCCTCTTCCTCCTCCTCCTCTTTCTTCTTCTTCTTCTTCTTCTTCTTCTTCTTCTTCTTCTTCTTCTTCCTCTCTCTCTCTCTCTCTCTCTCTCTCTCTTTCTCCTTTCACTCTGTTCTCTCTACCTTCTCCTCTGTTCCTTGTCCCTTTGGTGCCTGTGGTCTGTTTTCCCTCTATGTTCCCATCCCTCTTCCAGACCACATGGGCCTGACCTATTGGCTCCCACAAGGCTCCCGAGTGCTGCTTACAGTTCACACCCAGGTGGGGGCCAGGATGGAAGTGCACATCTGTATGCTTTGAAGCTCAGGGCTCAGGGCTGGCACCGAGAAACCTGGGAGAGGCAGACATGGCGAGAGCAGCCAAAAGCCCTGGGAAAAGCTCTGAAGGATGGGAAGTAGGTAAGAGGAATGCAGGACAACATCAAGCCAAAAGGGCAGACATATTAGAGAGGAACACTGGGGCTGAAAGAGATGACTCAAATCACCATCCAGGGACTTTGCCTTCTCCAGGGTCTTAGCTCCTGGGCCCAGTCTGATGTGGAATTCCCCTCTGTATGCTGTGAATACCATTGGTTAATAAAGAAACTGGCTTGGCCTGATAGGGTAGAACAGAGCTAGGTGGGAAAAACTAAACTGAATGCCAGGAGAAAGAAGGGTAGAGCCAGAGAGAAGCCATGGAGCCATTGCCGGAGACAGACATGCTGAAACTTTGCTGGGAGGCCATGACCTTGCAGTGATACACAGATCAATGGAGATGGGTTAAATTAATATGTAAGAGTTAGCAAATAAGAAGCTAGAGCTAATAGGCCAAGCAGCGATTTAAATAATATAGTTTCTGTGTGATTATTTGGGGAGTCTTGGCGACTGAGAAACAAACAAGCGGCCTCCTTACAACACCAGTCTAGCTCTCCTTTCCAGCCACCAGGGTGTTTGCTGTGGTCGAAACTCAAATGCTCTTCTGTTGCTCTTCTCCTGCCTGGAGCATGCTTCTCCCCTTCTCTGCCTGGCAGGTGCCTCTGTATCCCTGTCAGAGAGGTGCCGCAGGTGCCACCACCTCCCCAAAGTCTACTCTGCCTCCCCGGCACATCAGGAGCCTCTGGGGTTACCCCACAGAAACACCGACAACACAGTGCTCTGATAACTTCATATTGCCCGCCCCCCACAAGCCAGTAGTATCTTATCCACAGGGCCTGGCATTAGGCATCCTCCCAATGTCTACTCAAGCCTGGGTGATAGTTGGATTCTTGGGCTGTCTGTAGACCAGAGCAGAGGGGTGAGTGGTAGCCAGCAGGGGCTGTCATGTCCAGAATGTGGATTTTAAAAAAAGAGGAGGATTGGGGCGATCGGAGTCCTGGCAGGTATCACCATCACCTCCCACTTGTTTGCCGAGGCTTTTGTTACAGGGGAGCGCTGGTTCCCAGGATGACAGTTCCTCTTCTTGCTCCTAGTATTTCTGCCTGTTGCTGGCCATCTTCCTCGTGGAGCTGGTGGCAGGGGTCCTGGCACATGTGTACTACCAGAGGGTAAGTCCAAGGCCCTGTTGAGGTTTTCAGATGGTGCCTGAGGGAGTCACAGCAAGATGCTGGGGTTCGTGCTGGCCTAGCATCTGAGGCAGAGGTCTAGATAGGTAGTCCTGTTTCCTGGGCTGGTAATCTTCTGCACCCATTTCTTGTCCCATTCGGTAGATCTCTCTGCCTCTATTGGTACTGCTGCATTCCATGGGGGAGCCTGGTTGAGAGTCTCTCAGGGAGGCCAGTTCATTCTTCTCCCTCCAGGGATCCCTAAACAAGGAACCCACTTGCTAAGACAGCCATTGAGAAGGGATCAGAAAGGGCCAAATGCAGACTCACCAATTGTAAAGACTAGAGTAGGCCCTGCCTGCCTCAACGGGTGAGAGTCAGAATCAATCTCTCTCTTCCCATGCTTACAGCTTCCGGTTCAGGATTTGAAGGCAAGAACAGGGTAGCATTGGGCTGGAATAGACAGTGAGTCCCAATAAGCAGGTCCTTTGAAGCCAATGTGCACACTGTTGCCCAGGGTCCCAAGTGCCCACATAGCGAATCTCATCTTGTAATCAAAGTTCAAATCCACAGCAAGTTGAAGGCAACTCCCATGGGACACGGCATGAGCGGTGACATCTTCAGCCCCTGTCAGCTCTGCCCTTCACACCTTGCCTTCATGTCCGCTCACAACACTGAGAATTCGGAGGCATCTGAGTCCTAGAGGAAGGTGGGGGGTGGGTGTCTGCTGACACGCTTCTTGTCCCCTCCTCAGCTGAGTGAGGAGCTGAAGCAGCACCTGAACAGCACCCTGACCGAACGCTACGGGCAGCCAAGGGCCGCAGAGATCACAGCCTCGGTGGACCAGCTGCAGCAGGATGTAAGCCTCACAGAGAGATGCAGGTTTACACCTTGCCTCTGTCTCTCCCAGTCTGTGTGACCCCGGGACAACTGACTCACCCTCTCTGATCTCCTGTCGCACATCCCTAACTAAGCTGTACAGTGGTGGGATGCAGTGATGGTGATCGCCTTTAGATGTGACACCCTGGAAAGTACTCAATGAGCCCTGGCTTCCCCCATACCCCCTTTCCACTCTGTCCAAACCCCATCCCTGATGCCTTCCAGTTTAGATCTACTGGGGCAGATAGTTACCCTCATCTCCTATCTATGAACCAATTTTATTCTTCCTCGGAGAGATGGACCTAAGGCTCCAGTGTTCTCTGCCAGGCCACCATGGCCCAGAGCAGGGAAGAATTTTCTGATTGTGAGCCATTGAACAGCCCATGAGGGACAAGACAAAGTCTTGTTTGCAAGACACAGCAGATCCCAGAGAAAACAGCTAGGGTCATGTGTATATACATAGGTACACATGAAATATGCAGTCATGTCCCCGTGTGCTTAACCCAGTAGCTGGGACAGGGCCACCCACACTGTTGGTCACCTGTGCAAGCAGCATGTACCTACTGAGTCCCACATGTAAGGAGCCATGTGAGACAAAGGGTAGGGCAGGAGCCTTGGCTGGGGTCTCACTCATGGGACTGCAGACAATAGGTTACACCAGGCAATTTTCCCCAGGCACCTCAGATTAGACAGTAGGGGAGGTAGGGTCGGAGGAGGGTGTGGTTTGCCTAAGTGGGAGGGAGGCAAACAGGCAAAAGTAAAACCTGCCACTGACCATGGCGTCAACGTGTGTAACACAGGCCTCTCCTGTCCCAGCTCAGCACTGAGCCTGAGACAGTAGTGGATCAGAGCTAGGACCACATCTGGGCCACATGTGTGTAAATGACATGTGTGTACATGGACCATTCCTCACACAATGACACACGATGACACACAATGACACCCAATGACACACTGCTGGCTCTGTGCAAATGCTGAGTGCTGTCCAAGGACCTGCTCTGATCATCCTTACACACCCCCACCGCAGAGGTTATTTTCCCCATTTTATAAGCGCTCGGGGCACCAGCACAGAGAGGAGAGAGAGAGAACGTCCAACTGCATGTGACTCCAAGCACAGCCCTCCCCAGTGGCTGCTCTGTGTGTGCTGTCATTGGCTGTGGTCATGCTCTTTGTCACGCTGTTATATTATGTGTGTGCTCTGGGCGTGATTTGTCGCGGTCATGCTCTCTCTGCTGTAGCTGTTACATGGTGCACATGTCCTGCCTCAGCTGTCATGTCATGTGTGTGCTCCAGTCTCGTTGTTATGGTGAGCGTGCCCCATGGGTGCTCTCTCATGTTGTGAGCCTGTTTAGCGTGCACAGTGATGTGCGGGCTCCCTGTGCACACTTACAGGTGTTTGCTGACCCCTGCCTCCACTGTGCCCCTCTCAAGGAAAGTCAATGGCAAGCTAAGAGCCAGGTCCTCAGCCTCACTCCTGGCATGGAGGTGACTAACGCTTGAATCGAATGTCCCTGCACCTGTACCCAAGAGACAGGCTCAGTGCAGCTGTGCCATGCTCCTGGGCACGGTCGTAGGATCTCAGTGCCATGACTTACAGAAGGGAGGAGTGGCCAGCACCTGTTCTTTGACTCACTCTGAATGTAGTAAAGTGCAGGCCTGCTGGGCTGTACTTGGCATTCACATCAGTCTCTGTGGTCAGTGCTGACCTGGCCTCTGGGACACCCTCCACGCCCCTCTAGTCTCGGAGTTCTGAACTTCAACACCCAAATGGGGATCCTGAAACTTCTGGCAAGTTAGATCCCTGTCCCCAAGTCCTACCTCCTAAATGACCAGGGAACATCGCCCTTGGGATCCCCTCCTCCCGCTCTGGACCCTGGCTGTACACCCTAATGGCACCCAGCTTCACAACTGTGAAAGCCCCACATCTGTCTGCCCTTCAATCTCACAGATAATCCCTACTTCTAGAATACTTGGCTCCATGGAGCTAACAGGTGTCCTGCAGAGAAAGGTCCCAGACAGACCCTATCCTTCTCCAAGGGGACAGGGAAATCCCAGAGGAGACCCTGAATACCGGTCCTGGACCACAGGGTCGGGAGCACCACACAGACCCCCCTCACCCCAGCTTCGTCTCCTCCTCTCAGTTCAAATGCTGTGGCAGCAACAGCTCAGCCGACTGGCAACACAGTACATACATCTTGTCCCAGGAAGCCCAGGGGCGCCGGGTTCCCGACAGCTGCTGCAAAACTGTGGTGGCGCACTGCGGCCAGCGGGCCCACCCCTCCAACATCTACAAGGTGGAGGTAAGTGCAGAGGTCATCCAGGGGTTAGGGGAGGACCCCCAGAAAGTCCATCTCCGTAGGCAGGTGTGGGAAAGTAAAAATCCAAGCTTTGGCCTGAGATCACAGAGCCTGGGGGCACTCTGAGTTCTGACAGAGGACTAAGAACTAACATGGAAGTCTCAGACACCACGGCTCTCAAAACAGCCAGGAGAAATTCCAAGGCTGGCATCCCCCAGCCTCAGCAGCACACAGGATGACAGACATTCATCTCCCCCTGCCTGTCGCTGGGCTAAGGCCTGAGTAACCCACCTCCACCTTGCAGGGAGGCTGCATGGCGAAGCTGGAGCAGTTCCTGGCTGACCACCTGCTGCTCATGGGCGCAGTGGGCATTGGGGTGGCCTGTCTTCAGGTAAGTGGAGCAGGGGATGTCCCCCTTCAGCTGAGGTCTCAGACCCCTGTCTTGGGGGAAGTAGCTGACATCTTGCTCATGGCCTGCCCTACCCTTGTCCTTTCCCTTTCCCTTGGCGACCAAGGATGAATCACTCTGTCGGTCTCATTCCCCAGAGAGTCCTGAACAACTTGACCTGAGTGTGGGATCAGGTATGAAGCATGTGCCCTGTGTGCTCAGCACAGCCTGCTGAGTTTGTGAACGTCTATGACTGGCTGCATGTGTCTGTGCGGACATGATATAAGGTGTGTGCACTGTGTGCTTAAGTTGCCTGTGCACATATGCATGCATGTACCTGACATCATTCCATGTGTGTACATGTTACTTCCAGGAAGATACGCCCATCTCCCTGAGGATGGGCAAAGCTACACTCTACCCTCAATGCCTCTCCCTACATCCCCTCCTCTAACCTCCATCCAAGAAATGAGCATCAGTCCCCTCCTTTGCTCCAATCAAGGGACTGCTATTGGTTGTTTTTTACTCTTTTGGCTCTTTGGGGGGAGGCCCTCCACCCAGTTCCCAAAAAAATCACACAAAGGATTATTCTTACAAATGCCGAGCCTTAGCTTGGTGTGTTGCTAGCCAGCTTTTCTTAACTTAAATTATCCCATCTATCTTTTGCCTCTGGGCTTTAACCTTTCTCTATTTCTGCATATCTTTCTTTTCTGCTTACTCCATGGCTTGCTGTGAAGCTGGGTGGCTGGTCCTTGAAATCCTCCTCCTCTTGCTCCTAGATTAGATCTCTTTTTCCAGATTTCTCCTATTTAATCTCTCTGCCTGCCAGCCCTGCCTATCCTTTCTCCTGACTTGCTATTGGCCATTCAACTCTTTATTAGACCAATCAGGTGTTTTAGACAGCAAAGTAATACAGCTTCACAGAGTTAAACAAAGGCAACATAGAAGAATGCAACACATCTTTGTATCATTAAACAAATATTCCAGAACATAAACAAATGTAACACATCCTAAAATAATATTGTACAAGAAGGGGCCTTAGGAGAGGCGCCGGGAGAGAATCCTCAGGCTGAGCAGGCACAGAAAGCACTTCCTCCCTCCTGCTTCCTTCCAATGGTGGGAGCTGTGTGGGGGCTGCCCTTCTAGAAGGACCTAGGCATCCTGCTGCTCTGCCCTGCACCTCCCACCCGAGTGCTCTAAAGTGGCATCCCAAGATGGGGAGCGGCTGAACCACCAGACACTGGGGTCCCAGTCTGGCTCTGGCTCAGTGTGGCCTTGAGTCACAGCTTACCTTCTTTGTCTTTCAACTTCAGCTGCAAGATGAGGCTCATTTCCTCATTCTCATGTTGCCTACATAAGAGCCAGGGATGCACAGAAGAGCACACGGCCCACACAGGGTGCCTGGCGCACACTTGCCTCTGTAGATAGGTGTGAGCTGGCTTTATCTGATTTTCTGCAGTCTCAGAGCCTTTGCCCTAATGCATTCTCATTCCAGACCCAAGCCAGGTGGACAGAGCATGCTCCACACTTCCCGGATCAGAGAACTGAGACCCAAAAGCACTACATACAGGTCTCCCACCTAAACCTGCAGCCACAGCTCCCAGCTTTGGCCCTTGGCTTTCCCAAGTGTGTTACCCCACAAAGCCTGTGGGAAAGAAATGCATGGGATGTTAATGTCACCTGGCTTGAGGAGACTCGCTGCTTAGGGCTTCTCCGGACCATGTGTCACTCCCCTTCCAGGGGGACTGGAGGGCCATATGCCACCTCACGTGCTGGGAAGAAACTCCCCAGCCTCTCAGAGTAGGACCTTCTTGGTTCTGCTGATGAGCAGGACCGCATGACCTAGGATGAGTTATTTCATCTCTGAGGCTCAGTGGTCCATAAAATGAAACCGCCGCTGACTCCTGTGGTGGTCGGTCATGCATCAAAACCGTGAACCTTGTTGCCAAGCAGATGCAGGTGCCCATAAAAGTGCTCATAGCTTTTATTCCCACACAGGTCCATTATCTCTCAAAAACTCCCCACTGACTCCTTGGCCTCCTTGCTGCTAGACTAGGGGGCCCAGGGACACTACATAGCCCTTGCATTTCCCTTGTACTGAACCCAGAGTTGCTGCTGGGACCAGGCAGGGGTTACCCATCACTCCAGCTTCTGGCTCACTGGGGTTCCCTGTCATACAGGTTTTTAAGGGACTTCCCTAGAAAGGCACTGACCAGGCCTGGTCCACCTCTGTCCACGTCTTCCTGGCCTCTGTCTGCAGAAACTATAGCCAAAGGTAATGAACCTGAGGACCAGGGACAGGGCAGCAAATGCTTAGAGCTCAAAGTCAGAGCAGTTCAGTGCTGCTGTGTAAGTCTAATGTCCAAGCGCCAGGCCACTGGGCAGGCAATATTCCTGCAGGTATGACACCTCCCCCTGCTATGACTCGGCATCTCACCCCTTGTCCAGGTTTCTCACTTGTGAGAGAAGTTGAGGTGGTAATGGCCAAACCTCGGTTAGAGTGCCCTCTACTGGCCGGATATGGACATTAATCTACCCAGTCTTCCAGGCAGCCTAGAGAAAGGGCCTAAATCAGCCCTTCTTCGCCAGAAGAGTAGTGTTTCTTCCAGACAGAGCAGACACCATGTCCCTACACACATGCACACGAACATACACGCACGCACACACACACACACGCAAGCAAAAAGGTCAGGATATCATCCTGAGATGGTGTCCCTTGGTTTTCTTATCAGTAGGATAGAGAGACTGGACAATTTTTTAAAAAGCAGCCATCAGTGGGCATTGCTACCTAGGAGACTGGTCTGTTAGGCACAGAAGGCAGGAACTGCTGGCATTGAAACAGCCCACCACTCCTTACTCTCATGACCCTGAAGTACATGTATGGTTTCTTCTACAGGGTGGACTCTGCTTCTCTGTCCCATCCCTTAGCAACCTTATGCTTCTATGGTCCAGAGATTCTGGTAAGGTTCCCAGCTCACTGACCAGCCTCCTTATACAGATGCTCTGTGAACTCTGGAAACTAGGCAAGAATACAAGGCTGTCACTCTAATCTCAGCCAGGTGTCTGGTGGCCTGTCCATCACTGCCTCCTGGACATGTAAGCCAAGATGTACATCTCGGGAAAATGATGTACTTAACACTGTGGCATGTGTGCTCAGGAGAAATTATCACCTTGGCCACATTATAGAACCCCTCAGCATATTTTGAACCCACCCAAGATCCGGGGCTATGCTCCAACACATGTACATCCAATGACCAAGGTGGCCCCCAGATCTCAGTATATCTTCCAACTTCCTCAGATTTCAGGGACTCTAAAGAAGATAACTGAAGCTAGAGATAAGGTGTGGAGGGGTTCAGAGGTGGGAGAAGAAAGTCACATGGGGACTTTCCCTGGGAATCTTAGCGGCAGGGTGGGAACTGTGGGTAGCATTTACAAAGAGGCCCACCTGAAGCCTCTGAATGCAGATGGGATGGCCCAGCGGTGGCCTTCACAGAGGGCTGTCTCGAGGACCGCAAGCTGGAACAGGAGCTGAGTGGCAGGGGTGCTAGACGGAGGAGCCCCTCCCCTCAGAGAGGTTGTCCTCTGGGCACACACTGGCCCCTCTGACTAGCATTTTTGGGCTTGTCGTAGCCTCACCGTGGGACTCCATACACTGCGGGTCCTGTCAGGTCATCAAACGTGTGCTCACCCAGGCCAGAGACGGCTGCTGGGCCCGTCTTATTCATCTACATTGAATATGACTAACTAGTGGAAAGATGGAAAGTCGCTCACTGAAGATCACACAGCTACTGTGGCAGAGCCCGCCAGGCCTCCCTCTTATTCCTGGTGCTCTTTCTTCTCCACCAGCTTCCTCTCTTGTGGGTGGCTTTCCACTGTGGCATAATCTTAGAAAGCAATTTATAGAATAGTCTAACTGGGAAACTTGAAAAAGATTATAGTAGCCCAGAAATCTTTGGGGGCTGTCCTCGCACACAGAGGAGGCACCTCCCTGTTAAAAACACCCACGTGCGGCCAAGTACTGTCCCGAGCAGCTCCCCAAGGGAGCCCTATGTCCTATGCAAGTGGAGTTGGTAGCAGGAGCCAAACTCAGGAGATAGGCTACCCTCAGCTATGTTTAGCTCTCTCCAGGAACTTCTCTGTTGTTTCATGCTATCATGCTGGCTGCTTGGACCATCCATGCTGGCTTCTTTGTGACCTCTGTCAAAAGGAGAAACTGGTACTCATTAGGGACCTAATGGGCTACTGGCCTTTACCCTGTGCACTTCAGGGCAGATGTGTATGCACACATGACTGTGTGTGCATGTGCATGTATGTGTATCATATTGTACAGTTCAGGGTGAGGAATGTGTGTGTGTATGCATGCATGTGTAGACCTGTGAACACATTAATAAGTGTATCCTACAGAATTCAGGTGAGGAATGTGTGCGTATATGCATGCATGTGTGGATCTGTGCACACATTAATAAGTGTATCCTACAGAATTCAGGTTAGGAATGTGTGCGTGTATGCATGCATGTGTAGACCTGTGCACACATTAATAAGTGTATCCTTCCACAGAGTTCAGGGTGGAGTATGTAGGCACATGCATCTTTGCATGGACATGTTTTGATGAGAGTGCCTACCCCCATGCACTTGCTATGACTGTTGAAGGATCCATCTCGAATACATGATGCAGGCCAGAGAGTTCAGCTCCTACAGGACCATCTAGAGTTAATTGCATGCTGAGTAGAAGTGGATACATACAGCCTACAACACACAAAGACCAGATCAAGAGGTTCCTCCCACCTGCCCCTTTGTGTGCATGAGAAAGACCCGGAGATCCCATGGGGAAAGCACCCAACCATGAGATGGAGACAGAAACGTGCCACAACCCCTGGGCGCACGTCTGTGGATCACTGTGCCTGTGCCTGCTTAAAGCTGGTGGAGGGGAGATAACCTCTTAAGTCGCCTGTGGGCTTCTGAGCCTGAGTCCCCAGGTGGATTAGCCCAACTCTTAGCACTGAGGCTAAACCGGAAAGCAGCATGTATAACCTCAGCTATTGACCCTGCTGGGCCTGTGGCCGGAGAGTGGGGAGCAAAGTGAAGAGATAAACCTGTCCTTGATGACCAGAAGAAAACCTGACAAACAGGCAACTGTCTCATCTTCATGGGTCTAGTCCTACTCTGGCTGGAGCTCCACTGGTACCCAGGCCTGCACAGCCAAGGCCAGGTCTGTAGAATAAGCCAAGGAAAGACAGGATAATCCCCTACATAGAGACACTCGCTTTCAACCCTGTGCCATGTGACCGTTGTGTGACTGCTACTCAGGGCTCCTGTCCTACACACAGAATGGAGACCAAGTAACTACACTGTCACCATCAGGATCAGGATGACAGTAATGGGGCACCTTGTTCTGACACAACCCATCTCCTTGTCCTCAAGACATCCCTGGGTGGGAAGGAGGAGAGGGGGAAGGGGCAGCTTCAGGGGTGGGAGAGCAAAGAGCATGGGGTGGAGAATACAGGTCCTCTGTAATCTGGGAATGGGAACCAAATGGGAAACTGGGCAGATGGGACCCTCTGTGTCCTTGTTCAGCCCGTGGGCCCAGTAGGAGTACTGGAAGGCAGGATGCCAGAGTCCCCCACGCTCACTCATAGGAACCCTGAGTGCTCCTCCCGGAATTGTGGAGGGCTTTGGTTTGGTTCTGGAGCAGGAAGCAGAGATGCTGTGGACAGCTCTGGTGTGAGTGGGAACATCATCACAGAAGAACCAGATGAGCAGAGCTGTCTAGAGAGAACCTCTGGGTCCACAGGTCAGTAGCCCAGACCGGGTGGGTTCTGGGAAGGACCCAGACCCACAGGACTGAAATGTGTCGTGTAACCAGGCTCGTGATTCAAGCCCATTCTAGCACAGAAGTCAGAGCTTTTCCTGGCCACCTCTCCTGGGGTCCTGTGAGAAAAGCAGACCCTTCCAGATGGGTAGGGTCCGAAGGGGTGTAGATCACTCCAGTGTGAGCAACCAACTCCCAGCACTCAGCCTACGGGGTTCTCACGCCTTTGCTCTCTGTTCTCTCCATTGGCAGATCTGCGGGATGGTTCTCACCTGCTGCTTACACCGAAGGCTCCAGCAACACTTTTACTAAAGGATGCCCCAGTAGCCTGCTGACTGCCCCACACGAGGGCCCACATCCCCACATCCTGAACCAGGCCTACAAAGTCAGCAGTTGGGTCATGGACTCCCTTGGACTCTATGCAGAGCCCACCAGCTGCCTGTGGTGTGGCTCCTGGGATTCCCGCTGGGGCAGGGACCTCGGCTCACTCCTCCATTTCCAAGCACTCATTCACTGCCAGAATCTTTGGCAGGGGATGGTTCTGGCAAGAGGCTGCCAGAGCCCTTTGCTAGGCACGGATCCCTATGGACTCCAGGAGGGCCAGAGCTCAGCTCCCTCTGCACTATCTCAATGCCTGAGTCTGGACTAGAAGGATGGCAGATGTGTCTTCCCAAGACTCCTGCAGGGCTTGGTGTGTGATTCCCACTGACATTGGGTCCCAGTAGCTCTCCTCAGAGAAAAGCACCACTTCAGGCAGACTGGGTTAGCTCACCCCTCCCAAAACTTAGCTGGTTTTGGATCTTCCCACCAGTAACCGGCCATGCCTTTCCTGTAGGGCCTTGGACAGGGGTCGTCTAAGATGGGGCAGCTAAAGGCCAGGCTGTTGGAGCCACCAGGACAGGGCACTTAAAGAGGCAGGTTGGTTACAGCTGGGTGTGCGGCACCTGAGAGTCACATGATAATCACGAGCCCCAGCCCCCAGTGGCATGTCCTCTTCACAGCATTGACTACCAGAATATCAGGTTTAAGATGTTAGTGAGTTAAAGCTCTTCTCTAGTGGCCCACACTTCGGGCTGTTAAGTCAAGGCTGCCGAGGAGAGGAAGCTGTGGGGAAGGAGGTACTCTGCCTGCCCCCCATTTCCTGGTGCCTTCATGACCCCATTTCTCTTCCACTGTGTTCTCTGCTTCCTTCTCCACTATTCCAGAGTAGCACGGTTCTCTCCTCTTCTCTCTCTAGTCATTGGACGAAATAGAGACTATTCAGGAAGAACTCCCCACACGTTAAAGTAGACAGAAAGAAAATCCTAGAAAAATCAAAAGTTGGGAGTAGATGTCAACTACTCCCATAGGGAGTATAGCATAGGGTACAGACCATTGGGGATCCCCCCTTCATTGATTATTGCTTGGGCAGTTTTGTACACCAGGACTCCAAACCAGCCTCAGCTCCACATGGGTCTTGCTCACCTCTCCACAATGAACAAGTTGGCATCTCGTTAACCAGAAGCACTTACGACTTGCCTTCTATCTGACCCAGTTCTTACCACCATGCACCCAGATCCTGCCGAGCTGGGTCCCTTGTTGCAGGGAGATGAGCTCCCAGTTGTACGTGAGGGAACTAAGGGCCACTGGTTGCAGCCCCAGCATAGGTCTAAAATTCCATTCTCAGGGCAGGAAGTAGTTGCATCAACAGAGGGAACATCAGGCTCTCATTGGGTCAGCATCTTCCACTCTGGGATGCTCCGGGGAGCTACTCAGAGCCCAGGCTGGTTTATGTCACCTGCCTGAAGGGCCCTAGGTTGCTTGTACAAAGAAAAAAAGACACTCCCAAAAATCCTAGACTATGTTATGGCCAAGAGAAAATCTTAGCTACCCTCCACCTTCCCAGATTCTTGCAGCTATTCGAAGACTCACTTTGATCTCCAAGCTTATAGACCTATAAGACTCATATAGAGGGGATTAAACAAAAGGTTTAGGGTCCAAACCACATTCCTCCTGAAGAGGCACCGAGGGAAGTGGTAATATACAAAGGGATACTTTGGCCTTAGCATCTGCTTTGGTAGCCCCCCTTAGTTCTCAGGCAGATGAGGACAGAAGTGACAAGTGGGGACCATTGTACAGCCTCGATGCAGAGGCAGTCAGGAGAGCATAGCTCATTGGCCCTGGTCAGAGTGCAGAGTGAGTGGACAGCCCCAAATGTGACCTCCTTGATCACAACAGCCTTGGCGACAAGATGGGGTTAGAGGCCATGAAACACACAGTAGGCCAGGTTTAGTGCAGAATCTGTAGTGAGGTGTGCCCGTCAGATGGATGCTCAGGATATTTCTTCCTATTTATCCTGAGGGACAGGTCCCTATTCAGAAGTTGTCACTCTGAGTTCCTTAGAGAGAGAGAAGGGCCTACCTATAAAATGTCCTCCTCAGTCTTGAGTCAGCACAGACATCGTGGGTCCCACACCAGGCCCTGAACTTGGCACAGCTGCAGCCATCATATCCCCACCCTGAGCATGAGTTGCCTTTGCCTCAGCTCAAAGTGGCTCCCTCAAACACAGTATGCCCCTAAATCCCCCAGGTGGCCAGTGTTTGGGGAACGAGGGTAAACCTTAGTCTATGATAAGGAGATAAGGACTCTCTGTGCATTTTGTCCCTTGCCCTCCCCAGCACTGTACCCCTCGCCTCCCATGGCACTTCTGGCATGGCTTTGGGGATGGTCACTGAGGATCTGCATGTCTACCTTCAATGTCATCCACAGTGACACCAATGGAGTGTGCTATAGCCCCCATTCTCCAGATAAAGAAGCTAAGACTCGGTCAAGTTGAACACCAGTGGTGATGGCTGTTGTCAGGGCACCAGCCAGGTGGACCCAAAGAAAGTAGAGGTGGGAGCCCCTCCCCCCAGCACTGGCTGTTAGGTTGGCATTCGAGAACAGTGTCCTAGGGTGGTATGGCCAAATAGTGGCAGCCTCAACGACTCCTCCGTTGGATGGGCCCGTCCATCGTGTCCCATGTCAGCAGCGTTTTGCATTCCCAGGTGAAGTAGACACCTATCTTGTTTTGCAATGACAAGGTCCTATCGGGAATCTAAGGAGGCCAGAGCTCCTAAGTATGATCCAGGCCACACTCAGAGGCAGGAGAGGGGTGAGAACAGGGACTATCTTTAGTGCTCAGCCTCGGTGTGGATGGGAACCACACCATGTGAAGCTCGCTGGCTGGAATGTGAAATGTCTCTCTGTGTCCCATAAGGAGGTCAGGAGAGAACCCAAGATTGTATCCATTCCTAGAGCCACCCCAGGTATGGAGATACCCTGGTTGGTGATGCTGAGCCTCTCCCTCAGGCAGACCCTCTCTCTCTTCTTGCCCACTCCCCTATATTAAACATTTGTTATTTCTGGGCTCTGGAGTGGACACAAGGTGACTTCTGTCTTGAGCCCTCTCACCCCTCTCAGGGTCATAGAGGTTCATATCCGAAAGGCTCTGGCTGTCTGGAGAGTGTGCAGCAGCAGGCCAGTGTGATGAGCCACTGGGAGCTCAGAATCCGCCACTCGGAACAGCTTCCAGGGTTTTGAAGTCAAGGGAATGAATGGACCAGTTAGAACCCTACCAGCTTTGAAAATGCCCTCTGCTTATTGGCTTTTCAGGGCTGGGGCAAAGGGACAAGAGAAGGAAGGGCAGCCAAAGCTGTTCAGAAGGAACGTAGCCATCTTGTGACTTCCGGGTGGCAGTTAGGCCATCGGTGAGCAGTGTGGCGTGTTTTACACTTGCTCTCCCCTCAGCACCTCCAGGGGAGCCTTCAGAGCAGCAGGTTACCTCTCCATAGTTGCTCTACGGAAGGCCAGAGCCAACAGCTGGCATGTCTGCCAAGTTCCCAGGTGGTAATGCCACGGCCTGGCAACCACACCAACCCACAGTGTGGACCACACAAGGACATGGCTACCTTCAGATGTCAGAACCCTCAAGGGGCAAAAGTCACTCAGGTCATCTGACTTGAGACTGTTCCCACTAGGTCCACAAGGAGGGTGAGATGACACCAACCACCGAGTGGTTTCCAACCAGCCAAGCACATGCCTCTCGACAGAGCCTGCTTGGCACTCCTGCCCCTTCCGAGCCCAGATGCCTGGGCCTTCTTCCTGGAAAGGGGGCCCTTATACTCCAAGATCCCAGCTTCTTCTCTGTGCCGTGGGGTGGCCCTGCTGTGCCCCTGTCACTTTAACATGTCTAGCCAGAAATCAAGGCTCCCTCATCCTTCCCCTCCTGCTTACACACCTGTGAAACCTGCTCCTTCCCTACGCCAGTACTGACGGAAATTCCAGGGACCCCATTGTCAAGGGGCCAGATGGGCTTCTGGATCTAGCTGGCCCATGGATGTGAGACATCAGATATCCTACAAAGGCAGAAACTGCCTTAAGCTACTGCTTACAGCGAAACTCCAGATGTGAGATGCACCTCTCCACTGACCTCAACAGAAGCTCGGTGCCTTGTGCTAACGGACCCGATAATAAAGGACTTGTACCAGAGTGCCTTCTGCTGACTTGGTGCTGCAGGGAGACCCCGGGTCCTCTGTCCACCAACTGCATTGCATCCCCACGGGAGCTTCTTTGTTGGCCATGGCTTCCCTCCAGTGCCTGCTGACCACAGCCATCAGAAGTCTGCTGCCCCTCACCCCCTCATTCATCATCTCATGGCTTACTTGTCTGAAAGGATCTCTTCTTCTCATCAGTGTCATTAATCTGGCCCTTTGGGCCGCAGGGCTGAGCTGAAACAAGTGGGGTTTGCTTACAGCTTCCTGTGCCCAGCCAGGGAGTATGTTCATATATCCCTGCCACCTGCCACCTGCCACCTGCCACCTGCCTCCATCATGACTGCCACCGAATCCGCCTCCTCCTGTGGTAGTACTCCAGACGCCGAGGCAGGAGGATTACTCAAAGTTTGAGGCCTGGCTGGGTTACTTAGTGAGTTCCAAGCCACCCTGAGCTAGTATAGCAGTCTGCTTTTAAAAACAAAAATTCAGGATATATGAGATGACTCCACATGTAAAAGCTCTCATTGCATACACATGACAACCTGAGCTGGATCAGTTGTGAAAGGAGAGAACCTAACACCCAAATCTGCCTCCTGATTTCCACACACACACACCATGGACCATGGATTCTCTCTCTCTCTCTCTCTCTCTCTCTCTCTCTCTCTCTCTCTCTCACACACACACACACACACACACACACACACACACACACGAGAAGTGACTTTTTTTCATTCTGCTCTCATATATTACACGCTGACTGCAGCTCCCCTCCCTCTACTTCTCCTAGTTCTCCTCAGGCCCGCTGCCCCCACCCCTCTCCAGACATCAACCAAATATAGCATAAGATGCAATTAGGCCAGACACAAATGCTCACATCCAGGTTGGATGTGGCAATCCAGTAGGAGGAAAAGGGTCCCAAGAGCAGACAGAGAGCCAGCACCCCACCCCCGCCAAAAAACCACCAAGCCAACAATCATAACATATATGCAGAGGACCTAGCTCAGACCCATGCAGGCTCCGTGACTGCTGCCTCAGTCTCTGTGAATCCTATGCTCTCCAGGAGTGTGCCCACAAGTCCTTCTTCCCTACCTTCAGTGGGGTTCCCTGAGTTCTGAGGGGAGTGTCCGGTTGGAGACTTCCAACCTCCGTGCTCTCTCCACCTAATGTTTAGTTGTGGATCTCTGCATATGATTTCATCAGCTGCCAAAGCATCCTCTCTGGTAATGACTGGACTAGGCCCCAATCTATGAGTATGGCAAAACATCATTAGGAATCATTTCATTGATTTTTTTTTTTTTCGCCAGTCATGTTTGGTTCTACCCTAGGTCTCTGGGCTTTGCAGACTCTGGTTCCTGGCCATCCAGACAGTGTTGAACATGGTTTCCCTCATGTGATATGAGCCACGAATTCGACCAGCCTGTGCCATTGTCCGAGTTTACCTTGCAGGCATGGCATATTGTGGGTTGAAGGTTTTGTGATTAGGTTGGTGCCCCAGTCCCACCACTGGAAGCCTTGCCTGGTTACAGTAGAGAGCTGGCTCAGGCTCTGTAGCCTCTGTTACTAGGAGGCCTCACAAGGGTCACCCTCATAGATTCCAGGAGTTTCCATGGTACTGAGTTTCTACCTTGCCCCCTGAAACACCTCCCAGTTCCAGTCATCTCTCTCAGTACTCTCCTCTATCCATCTCCCACCACCTGAGCCTTTCTATTATTCCCATCCCAGCCCTGCCAGTTCACCCACAAAATCTAGTTCCCCTTCCCAGGAGATCCATGTCCCCCACCCCCACCTTGAGTCCTCCTTGCTACTTAGTCTCTCTGGGTCTGTGGATTATAGCATGATTAACATTTAATTACCAGCTAATATCTACTTATAAGTGAGTACATAGCATGTTTATCTGTCTGGGTTATCTGTCTGGGTTACCTCACTCAGGATGTTTTTTTTTTTTCCTAGTTCCACACATTTGCCTGCAAATTTCATGATGTTATTTTTTTAACAGCTGACTAAACTCCATTATGTACCACACTTTATTTATCCATTCTTCAGCTGAGGGACATCTAGGTTGTTTCCAGTTTCTGGCTATTGCAAATAAAGCTTCTAGGAACGTAGCTGAGCAAGTTTCCTCGTGGTATGGTAGAGTATCTGTTGGGTATATGCCCAAGAGTGATATAGCTGGGTCCTGAGGTAGTTCAATTCCCAATTTTCTGAGAAACCACATTGATTTCCATGGTGGCTGTACAAGTTTGCACTCCCACCAGCAATGGAGGAGTGTGCCCCTTGCTCCACATCCTTGACAGCATGAGCCATCACTGTGTCTTTGATCTTAGACATTCCGACAGATGAAATCTCAAAGTCATTTTGATTTTCATTTTTCCAATGGCTAAGAATGTTTAACATTTCTTTAAGTGCTTCTCAGCCATTTGAAATTCCTCTATTGAGAATTTTGTTTAGCTCTGTGCCCCATTTTTAATTGGGTTGTTTGGTTTGTTGAAGTCTAGTTTCTTGAGTTCTTTATATGCTTTGGATATCAGCCCTCTGTCAGATGTGGAGTTGGTAAAGATCTTTTCCCATTCTGAAGTGTGCCATTTTGTCCTGTTGACTGTGTCCTTTGCCTTATAGAAGCTTTTCAGTTTCATGAGGTCCCATTTACTAATTGCAGATCTATGTGCCTGTGCTACTGGTGTTCTGTTCAGGAAGTTGTCTCCTGTGCCAATGCATTCAAGACTATTCCCCACTTTCTCTTCTATCAGGGTCAGTATCTCTGGTTTTGTGTTGAGGTCTTTGATTCACTTGGACTTTAGTTTTGTCCAGGATGATAATATGGATCTGTTTGCATTCTTCTACATACCAATATCAGTACCATTTATTGAAGATGCTTTTTCCCATTGTATATTCCTGGCTTCTTTATCAAAAATCAGGCATCCATAGGTGTGTGGATTATGTCTGGTTTTCAGTTCAATTTCATTGATCAACCTGTCTGTTCTTATGCCAATATCATGTGGTTTTTATTACTATAGCTCCATAAAATAGCTTGAAATCAGGGGTGGCGATACCTCCAGACGTTCTGTTATTGCTCAGGTTGGCTTAGATTTCCTAGGTTTTTTGGTTTTCCACATGAAGTTGAATATTGTCCATTCAACGTCTGTAAAGAATTGTGTTGAATTTGTAGATTGCTTTTGATAAGGATGGCTATTTTTACTATTAATCCTGATTCATGAGCATGGGAGATCTTTCCATTTTCTGATATTTCTTCTTAAATTTCTTTCTTCAAATAATTGAAGTATTTGTCATACATGTCTTTCATTTGGTTACCAAGATATTTTATATTGTTCACGGCTATTGAAAAGGGTGTTGGCTCCTTGATTTCTTTCTCACTCTGTCATTTGTATATAGGGATTACTGATTTTTTTTAAGTTAATCTTGTATCCAGCCACTTGACTGAAGGTATTTTTATCAGTTGTGGTAATTCTCTGACAGAATTTTGGGGGTCACTTATGAATACCGTCATATCATATGCAAATGCCAATACTTTGACTTCTTCCTTTCTAATTTATATTTCCTTGGCTTCCTTCAGTTGTTTTACTGCTCTAGCTAAAGCTTCTAAAGTACTATATTGAATAGATATGGAGAGAGTGAACAGCCTTGTCTTTTCCTGGTTTTAGTTGGACTGCTTTGAGTTTCCGCCTTTATTATGTCTGGGTATGTTCCTTGTGTCACTGATCTCGCCAAGACTTTTTTCATGAAGGAGTGTTGGATTTTTGTCAAAGGTTTTTTCAGCATCTAATGAGATGATCATGTGGTTTTTTTTTCTTTCAGATTGATTACATTGGTAGATTTTTGTATATTGAACCATCCCCACATCTCTGAAATGAAGCCTATTTGATCAAGGTGGATGGTTCTTTTGGTGTTTTTTTTTTTTTTTTATGTGTTCTTAGATTCAGTTTGCGAGTATTTTATTGAGTATTTTTGCATCTATGCTCATAAGGAAAACTGGTCTGTAATTCTTTTTCTTTGCTGAATATTTGTGTGAATACCTTTTGGGTATCAGGATGACTGTGGCCTCATAAAATAAATTTGACAATGTTCCTTCTGTTTCTATTTTGTGCAATAACTTGAGAACTATTGGCATTAGCTCTACTTTGAAAGTCTTGCAGAACTCTGTGCTAAAACAATCTTAGGGTTATAGATCTATTTAAGTTGTTTATTTGATCTTGATTTAACTTTGGTGAGTGGTATATATTGAGAAAATTATTTCTTTCTTTTAGATTTTCCAATTTTGTGGAGTACAGGCTTTTAAAGTATGACCTAGTGATTCTTTGTATTTCTTTGGTATCTGTTGTTATGTTCCCCTTTTCATTTCTGATTTTGTTAATTTGGATATTCTCTCTGTGACTTTTAGTTAGTTAGGATAATGGTTTGTCTAGTTTGTTAATTTTCTCAAAGAATCAGCTCTTTGTTTCATTGATTCTTTGTATTGTTCTCTTTGTTTCTATTCTATTGATTTTGGCCCTCAGTTCAATTACTTCCTGCTGTCTACTCCTCTTGGGTGTGCTTACTTCTTTTTGTTCTAGAGCTTTTAGGTTGTTCTTAAGTTGCTGGTGTGAGATCTCTCCAGCTTTTTTATGTAGGCACTTAGTGCTGTGAACTTTCCTCTGAGCACGACTTCCATTGTGCCCCATAAGTTTGGGTGTGCTGTGTATTCATTTTCATTGAATTCTAGAAAGTCCTTAATTTCTTTATTTCTGTCTTGACCCAGTTTTTATTCAGTACAGGACTGCTTAGTTTCTACGAGTTTGAAAACTGACTCTTAAAAGTTGTCCTCTGCTCTCCGCTTGTAAGTCACAGCATACATGTCCCCTCCCACAAATGTAATAATTTAAAAACAAAACAACAACAACAAAATATTAGCTCCTAAATTCACTATTCTTTCTAGAAGTTACTGAGATCTGGTGAGGGTAAACTGAGCCCATGGAACCCTAAGACTTAGGGACTCGGGGTTATGGGGGTGGGGAGTGAGACCTAAGAGGCTCCTAGGAAGACTCATTGTGAGCACTGGAAGGGGCGTGGCCACTCGCCATGTGAGCAGATCTTATTGTCCCACCTGAGGAAATCCCTAAGTGGGGATCCACCTTGCAGAGGAGCTTCAGGGCCTGAGCAATTGTAGCAGAGCCCTCTGGTATTTGAGAGTTATGGAGAGTGACCCTGGCCTAAGACATATGTCTTAGGGTTTATTGCT